GACAAAAAGTCTCCACAATGCAGTGATTTCATTCTGGCCAGCTACTGTTGGGCGTGGGTCTGTCCCTAAGTGTGGTTATTATATCCAATGAGGCTACATTGGAGAAAACTAATTTTTCCTTTGCAAGCAGATGTCAATTGAAGATAGCTTCTTGGTCAAAGATGCTAGCTCCTGTCCATTTCTCCATCTCAGCACTGAAACCCCACCTGGCTTGAACTTGTGCCGGCTCTGTGCATGCTGCCACAGTGCCTGTGAGTTCATATGTGCATCGGTCCTGTGTCTGGAAGACGAGCTCTGAGGGGTGGGATTTGATGGATGCAACCCATTTAGTGCTGAGGGTTCCAAGGTCTCTATATCTGTCTCTGTCTCTCTGTCTCTCTGTCTCTGTCTCTCTCTCTGTCTCTGTCTTTCTCTCTCTCTCTCTCTCCCTCCTTCCCTCCCTCCCCTCTCCACTCTCTATCCCTCCCTTCCTTTTCCCTCCCCCCCCCCGAAATACCTGGCTGTGGGTCTCTGTATTTATTCCCATTTGTTGCATGATGAAGATTCTCTGATGATGGCTGAAGGAGGCTCTGATCTGTGAGTATAACAGATTATCATTCATTAGGTTTCATTTTATTATTACTGCTTTTGGACAGGTAGTGTTTGGTTTTACCCAAGTTGTCTAGCCTATCTAGTCTCTGGTTTTTGTTTACCCAAGCAGTGTTGGGTTGTGGGTTCCATCTCATGAAGTGGCCATCAAGTCCAATCACATGGTGGTTGGTTACTCCCACAAGCTTTGAGCCACCATTGCCCTGGTATATTTTGGCAGGCAGGGCAGATTGTGGATCAGAGGTTTCGTGGTTCAGTCAGTGTTTCTGCTTCGATTTTGATGGTCTGCAGAGTACCTTCCTGTACCAAAGGCACTAGAATGTAGGGGTGAAGGTTTTCTGTAGGCACCAGCTCAGATTCTCCATATTCAATGAGTTGTATGGGTGCTGTTTTCAGCAACAGAGCCTTGCTCTCAATTTGTGGAGAGCAACCTCTTCTATTGGCAACAGCCTGGATTGTTTGGGGATTTCTGCATTTGTGTGACTTTTACTTCCCTATAGACTTGGTGCAGTTCTATTCCTGTTCCATGGATTAAGAGTTAGACATTGGGCTAATACTTTGTTTTAGAGGACAAGAATATTGCACATTGTATTAACTTCATTTTAAAATCCTATTATACAGATACTCAAGCAGTGTTTCCCTATATTATAAATACGCAATGTTAACCACCGCCATCATTTCTTGAGATCTAAGTAAAAAGTTTTGTATGGTAACAAGCTCCTTTAAGTCAAGGAACAAAATCAGGTTCTCCCTATGTTTCTAAGCTCTTTCTATTTAGTGCTTTGTTTTAGTCAGCATGAGTAATTGCACTTCTGTATGATAGTTTTCTAGTTACGGTAACTGGCTTTGGAATCCTTGCCCAGTCTAGAAGTGAATCTGAACCCTAATATTTACAGTGAGTGTGCTGAGAAAGTTACTTAACCTCTCCAGGTGTCATTTACCTCATTTGTAAAAATCAAATCCTTAGAAACAGCTCCTACATCAAGCTACTTGGGGTCATTAAGAACACTACATTAGGACAAGTACACAGAGAGTCAAAGCTCACATTTTTAATCTTTGGAAACCATACAAGGGAAGGAGGAGAGAACCTCTATACAAAGTTGTTCTCTAACCTGCACAGATGCACGCTGATACAAGTATGCCTATGCATCACAAATACACACACACACACACATACCACTACCACCACCACCACCACAATCACCACCACCAGTACCAATAATAAATAATAATAATATGTCATATATACACTTTAAATGTTAAGACAGTGCACACACAGGTCCTTGCTCTGGCATAGAGAACATTACATAAAGCTCCTTTGAGCTGCATTTTAGGACCATAATCCTCTGCACACTGTTGGAGATGCCTAGCTTCCAGGTTTTGCCATGGCATGTCTCTTAATGTCCCATTGGCCCAACTGGTTACCTGCCAGGTTCAGCTTCAAGCAGAGGAGTAATGAGCTCTCGGTGGAGAGGCACCAAGTGTCATGGTCACTCCTTTCTGCTTACTGTAATTATTAGACACTAATAGACCCCTCTGATTATATGGGGCCAAGTAATTGTTCTGTTGATACGAAAGCTATGCTCAAGTCAGAACTTCATCATTTTGGTAGCTGCTTAAATGTGTTTCCTATTTACCTCCACAGCTGAAAATAACTGACACCAGGAGGCTTTAAATGCCATAGCTGAAGTTAACACAATGAATCAAACTAGGCTTTGAAGTCTGGTTGAAGTGATAGATCTTCATGGGATAGTGGACTTGGCTTATTGGATTACTCTCTTCTTAAAGTTGAAACAATTTAGTTCCATTATTTGATTTTCAGTGTGGTTCAGTGGTCATTAGTTTCTCCGTGAGCTTGTTTCCTGTACTTATGGCTTAAGATGTAAGAATAGTTTGTTTATAAAATAGAGAGTGTCCTACCAATTCAAACTATCAAGTCTAAGGTCAAGGAGACAGTTCAGTCAGTAAAGATGTTGCAAGCATGAGGACCCGAGGTCAATCCCCAGGACCTATGTGCTCTGATGTCCATGTAATCTCAGTGCTGGAAGGCAGAGGTGGATGGATCCTTGGGTTTACTGAATATCCAACTTAGCCTTTCCACTACACTCCAGGCCAGTGAGAAAGCCCATATGAAAAGTAAAACGTGGGTAAAATCTGTGGAATGACACCTAAGGTTGTCCTCTGACCCTCATTCTCCCACCCAAGCACATGCATACAAGTATACACTGACACACATTAAACAACAACACCAACAGCCCTGTTGCATCTAATTTTAGCCTCAGATGCTCTCATCCTTTGGGGAGTATTATGCCTCTTTTCTCTCACTGGGACATACTGTGAGACCAAAGTGCTTCCAGCAGATTTGTATAAACTCCTGTTGTCCGGCTGGAAGCTTTGATAAATGATATGCTCACTTACAAGGCTATAGAAGGTTATATTGGAACTACATTACCATGACCCAGAGGCCTGGAATTGGTTTTGGAATGAATGAAACTTAAACTTAAAATTCAAGTGACTGACACTCTTGTCTGGTGAAGCTTGTTATCTGTGATTTTTTTTTTGTCAGACATGGGAAGACTAGCCACTGTGTTTATTTTGTATCTAACTTTGCAATCTTCATATGCCTTATGTAGATAGCATAGAAAACTCAACTTGCAACATCTGCATTTCATTATTGCTGTGAAAACTTAGATTCCAAAACAGTTAAGTTACTGTTGTGAGATCTATCAGCTCAAAAGGGGTAGACTCCAAACCTAGTGTGTACCCCAGCTCCTCATCGCTCTGCTCTGACCACAAACGCAATACTTATCATTTCTTCATGGCCATGATTGATTTAGCTTACCTTTACACAGTGATACTGACTTCCTCTGACCTCCATTCTATTTATTTGAGATTCAGTTATGTACTGGATGCCACTGTGGCTTAACTTCTCTTAATGACATGGTAAGCCATCTTCAGGCACATCTATCTTCCATGTTCCTGTTGAAGATTCTGGAGGCAGGCAGCAAATACTTGTAGAACCTGCCCGACTTTCAAGTTCTGCCTACAGTGAGACTGTCAGGTACAGCAAGAAAGTGATCTATACCTCTCATTACCTGCATAATTCCCCCTTTTAATGGAAGCAGCCACCAGTACCCCCAGGATGGTTCTTCATCTTTTGAATGAGACTTCCCAAGTAATGACACTCACATCTTACACAGAGAATTCAAAAAAGCTGATGTGTATCACAGTGTAAGAGTTGATGTCTGAAGCAGAGGAGAGTTACATCTATGCAATAGACACTCAGTATCAGTACAACTATAGCACAGTTTCACACATACACACACACACCTCATATGTGTGAAGAATCATTGAGGGAGAAGAAAGGATTTAGAGGTGGGGACCTTGCATTGCCTGAAAGACTCAAGGAAGACATTTGTCCTTGGGGACTATAAATAACATCTCATCAGTATTAACACATTAAAGTTATGTGAAAGGAAGTAGACAGCACAATAAGTGGTTCTGGAAGGATCCTGCAAGGTCATACATGTAGGCTATGCATATGGATGGAAGGCTAAAGGTGCTGAAACATGTGTCATGGCTTCTTGAGTTGTGGTAACATAACATCTTATACTCAGAGATAGTCCTTGCTTACTAGTCCTTTGTCCTAGAGAAGAAAATACTGTCTGGCAGTCCAACTGAAGGATACAGTAGTAAGGTCAGACAGTCCAACTGATGAACACACATAAGGTTAGACAGTCCAACTGGAGTCCACACACATAAGGTCAGATTGTGGTGAGCACACAGGTGCCCTCCAGTATTAAGTCTGTAGACTCTTAACTGGAAACTGAATGAAATATGTAAGTCAGGAAACGTAGTCTGTGGAGTCTTTTCATGTCTACACTATGTTCCCCCCATCTCCTTTCATGTTGAGCTTCATGAACGTGATAAGGACTCCCGCTTTGTGAACTTCTTCAGATCTAGAGAACTTGCCTTGCTCCCTCTCCTATCTGACTTTCATTGCCTTCCTTCAAGGCACTTCAATAAAAGGTCACTTCAAAGAAACCAAACCTAATAAAATGTAAATCCGAGGCCAAATGTGTTTTTCCTTTCTTTGTCCTCAGCCTTCCCCAGGTGATGTGATCAGCAGTGTGTACCAGAGGGAAAGGCTTCCCTGAAGCTGATTGTAGGTTTCACCGGATAGCCTCCATGAGAAGAGATGGACTTTCTTATGTCCCTCCAGGCAATGACATGCTTGTCTATTAGCTATAGCAAAAGAAGACCCCTTTTTGCTACCAATGTTTAACCAAACAGCATAATAATTATTTTTAATCAACTAAAGAAAAGACTGATAATTGCTATCTATAGCAATGAAGAATAGAATTCTCCGAATAACTGAATGTTCATGTCCACTATTTATTGTTCTCACACAGGATGAAGAGGAAGAAATCAAACAAGAAATTAACATGTTGAAGAAATATTCTCATCACAGGAACATTGCTACATACTACGGTGCTTTTATTAAAAAGAACCCTCCGGGCATGGATGACCAACTATGGGTATGTAACATTGTTCAAAGAGCATTTCTCTAGCCCTCTGGCAAGACTTGATAGAGTGACTGTACATTTGAAACACTTAGCCCTGTGATTTGCATAACATTGGCTTTTCAAAGTTTTCTCCCATCTTCTTGAATATGTATTTTTCATTATCCCTAAATCTTTCTTCTCTCTCTCTCTTTTTAAAAATAAATATTTTCACTTATTTGATGGGGATGTGCTTGTGAATGCACACATGTGTGTGCAGGTATGTTGAGGTCAGAGGTCATTTTCCCATTACCCTTTCTTATCCATATTTGTATGGGCCATGCCCAAATCTGCTTGCTAATCCCTATTTCCTCCTCACCTATTACCTATCTTTTATTGCATTTTTATTGTATTTCGGACATTATGCTACTTACTATCTGAATTCTATGATTTGTTCCCATACACTGATGTAGTTTCAGCAGACCAATTTCTTATTGGTGGAACTGTGATTTACAGGGACGATAATCAACTATCCCAAACTCTGTGTGGTGGAAGGAAGCCAAGCTGTAACTTCACTCTGGCTGATTATGTATTACAATATGTAGATGACTGCAATCATAGTTTCAAGTCTATGAATGAAATACCTAACATGATGTCTGATACCACTGTAGGACCTCAGTAAAGGTGCTTTGCTTTTCCTAAACACCCTACCCAGTAGCTTTGTGCCCCAGTCCTTGTGAGCACTGATTGCCTATCCCACCAATGGTGATTGAAAGCCACCAACTCACTGTGTACTGTGCTCTGTGTAGATTGTATTTCTTTGTCTTTGTAACTTCTTACATTGGAACTTTTCATCCTTAGTCCTCCAGTGGATACAGAACCATCTTGGTTCGATGACATTAAAAGGGAATTGCCTCCTTTGACAATGTTATGAATTAGCCTCAAGTGTAGCCCATTCAGTGGACTGTGGACAACTTGATCTGCTTCTCTTCTTCTCTTAAATCTTTGTTTCTCTCATGTGGTACTGTTGGAGTGATGACTCTTAAGATTGATGCCTTGCTTATCTTCTGGGGCCCCGGTTATGTGTCTAACACACAGAACTCCTTGAGTGGGTGTCTCCTAAATACCAAGGACTATGGTACACTGTGTAACTCCAATGATGTATGGACATTTCTCTAGGCTCAGTCTTGGATAAAAGCTATTGTGATGATGAATATGACATTTGAAATCCAACCAAGATGGGGGTAGGGGGGAGGAAGCATCCAGTGTTTTCACATGCTGACCAGAAAAGACGTGATGATGTTAGTGTTAACAAGAGTTCATTCCACATGATACTGAATATTCAACCATCAGAGGTAAAGAGAAATGCTGGGAAATTCCCCCCATAGGACACAACTCCAAATGTAACATAAAGGTACACTATAGGGCAAATAAGGCTTGATGGAAGTGATTTATATATTGTGTGGTTTCCGAATACATTCCGTTTAATTGTAACAGTAGTCTCTCGATGTATAGCAATGTGCACGTGAAAGTTAGAAAATGAAGAGAGAGGGGAGAATGAATGTGAATACGTAGTCTGAGGAGCCACACCAAAGGGATACACGGCAAAATTAAACCTTGAGAGACTTGATTATGTAAAAATGATCACAAAAATACAATAGAGATGTAAGTCACTAATTTAGGAAGAATGTTTCATATATGATGAGCAGAATATATATAAAAGCCTTCAGATATGATGGGCTTGTACAAGTCAATGGGGACAAAGAGGAAACTACCAATGAAAAAAACACATGAGGGTCAGGACAACGGCTACAATGCTAACAATCAGCTGCCAATGAACATGTTGTTTGATTTGTTTATTTATTTTAATTTATTTACTTTACATCCCACTCACTGCTTTCTCCTGGTCACTCCCCCTCACAATCCTCCCCCCATATTCCTTTGTGTGGCTGGGGGCTCCCCTGGGTATCTTCCTGCCTTGGCACATCAAGTCTCTGCAGGATAAATATGTTTTTTAAATGTTTCTCAGGAACCCCAAGAAGAGTTTGGTACAACTTCCTACCTATGAGATGAGAAAATGATTCGCAGTACCTACCCATTCATCCCTAGTTTTCTCAGAAGTGTGTGTTGCTATAGCTTAACCCAAGAACAGAATACATACAGGCCACACACACACACTCATACACACACTCACACACACACACACACACAGTCTCTCATACAGAGAGAGAGAGAGAGAGAGAGAGAGAGAGAAATACATGTATACAAATACATGTGTGTATGTGTATATACACATTCATTCATAAATATAGCAAAGAAAGTTCCTTAATTTTGAACCAGTATTGCTGTAAGCAGAAATTTATTGAAAGTAAATACTTACATAGCTACATAAATAAATTAACTAATAAAAAGTTCACTTAACCGTATGATTAATCAAAATATAGATTCGTTCTTATAAATGGATGAACATTAACTACTATAGTAAGATTCTAAAATCTTTCTTAAAGATTATAAATATACTATCATATCATTTCATTTTTATAAGAAAGGAAACACTATATGTTTATGTATATGTTGACATTGACAAGATTGAGATCTCTGTGCTAGACACACACCAGTGATGAGGAGAACGTGTACATTTAAGGATCATTTCAGTCTTTTAAGTTTTTGTTTTATTTTATTTTATTTTATTTTATTTTATTTTATTTTATTTTATTTTATTTTATTTTATCTTATCTTATAGACAGGGTCTCTGTGCTTAGCTCCAGCTGCCCTGGACCTCACTAGATAGATCAGGCTGGCCTTTAATTCCCAGAGATCCACCTGCCTCTGCCTCCCAAGTGCAGGGATTAAAATAGCCCAGCACGACTATGCCAGGCTATTTTAATTTTATTCTAAATTTTATTAATTAAAAAGTAGAAAACAAAACAAAATAACCAGCCCCTAAAACTCTACAACTCAGTGTTAGAGTAGCCATTGGAGATGGAAGTTGTGGAGCGTCACATTGGATTTTATGCTTTCTCTACTGAATGTATTTTTATGCATATATCTACCATGAAAATCCAAAAATTCCATGATAGAGTTAGAACTAGAAAACCAATTAGCTTTTTGTCCTCTTTTGTAGCTCACGTCTTTCACGTGCATTGAGTCCTTCATCATCCTGTAATAGTTAGCTCTTTACTCTTGCTCTGTTTTTCTACATAGTACACTGTACTCATCTGGCATTTGTTCCCCTATATACACATTATTGGCTTGGTTCTATAACTGAGCGATAGCACTCAGTAGCTTTCTTTCTGAGATTGGATAATTCCATTTAGTACAATACATTCTAAGCCCACCCATTTTTGTGAGACATACCCATGTTTCTCTCCCACGTATAGCTTATGCACCTTTCCTGCGGTTCCTTTTACTGCCTCTCCTGGGACTGTCCTAGCTCTTAACAATGACAGACAGGATATGGATTGTGCCTTTTGTTTCTTTGTTTCTCTTCAGCTTCTGGGCAATAGGAACTGAAAAAACACATCTATTTGTGAGTGGGAACAGCATCACTGGTACAAGCCTGGTTGCCTAGGTGATTTCTGAGTGTGGCTTCCTGAGGGCCTGAAAGCTCAGTGGAATATAAAGAAAGTGCATGCACCAGAACGCTTTTGTGTCTCAAAGACTTTCTGCACTGTCTGGAACCCAGCATTTTGGCGTTGTCCTGTATGCTGTGAGCTACAACCAATGGCTATAGAGAATCACTCCGGTCTTATTCCAGTTCATTGTCAAGCCCTGGGGGTGTCCTTGTGTGCCCTGGCAGTTTTTGCCATCCCCAAAAGATCCATTTCCCTCTCACATCCTGTGTGCTTGAGATGGAGCCCACTGCCTTGTGCAGGATGGGCAAGTTCTGTTCTGACTCCCTCTGCCAGTTGTATTGAGGTTTAACTGGGAAGCTTAGTATTGATGAGGATGAGGAGAATGGAATGCTTGCCCACTGTTGGTGGGGTTGTCAGTCAGCCATTGTGGAAGACCCTATGGAGGATATCATCCAATAATTCAGTCTGTACAAAATAAGAGGCATCTGTACACACTTGTTCCTTCACGTAAGAATTATTCACAATGCAGGAGGAGGGATGGCAATTTTATGCAACCTGTGGTCAGGGCTATAGTGCCAACTAAGGGTAAGCATGAATTAGCCATCATGGTAAGCTAACCCCTTTCTTGAGTTTGGTGATGGAAGAAGTAATGGCCTGTGTCTGTTGGTTTGGGAAGCCTCATTGTTCTGAGCACTCCACTAGCAATCTTCTGGCAGCATCTCTGTCAGTGAGGCTAAGGTCAGGCCAGGAAAACTGTCCTAAGGCAAGAGCATAATTTATTCTTATAATTGCACTTTTCTGTGAAACAAAACTAAAGAAGAGTTGGGGAGGGGGAGGTCCTTGCCTGCTGTGACAGTGGGCAAGCTAGTCTGGGCACTGCTGGAGAGCTTACCCTGCTAGCATGGGTGTGAGAGAGCTGGCGAGCTGACAAACTTTGCTACCATCCAGTTCCAGGGCTTTGAGTTGCCCCAACTCAATGTACCAACCCAACATATACCTATGAACTAACTGCTGGAGCATGTGAAGGGGCCAGCCTTGCAGATCCAAAGATGCGGGATCTCCATAACACAGGGCAACAACAGGATATCCTAGAGGAGTGCCAGTGAAGATCCAGTATTGATAGCGTAGCAGATGCCACAGGCCTTGAAACAGACCAATGACTCACTGCAATGAACATTTACAGGTAAAGCTGTGTAGACAGAGGGTATATTGTGTGACACACTGCAGCTTCCATGATAAGATCTTTCTATCTTATTTAATTTTATTGAGGGTGGTGCAAAGGCAGAGGGGTGGATTCAAAGGGATGGGGAGATGAGTGGGATTGGGTACATAATGTGAAATTCAAAAGAATCGATAACAAATTTTTAAAGAACCCAATGTCTTACAACACTTACCACCTCCTTACCAGTTCTCCAAGATCTGTTAGTATAACATGATACTATGGCAATGTTAACAATGCTG